AACAATTGAAGTATGAGTCTCCCTACTATCGACTTTTTGATAAACATTCTAATTATCCTATGCTACTTACTTTCGGATGTATTTGTTTTGTTCATCTACCTGCTCATGAACGTCATAAGTTGGCAGCTTAGTCAGTACGATGTGTCTTTATGGGGTACAGTTCTAATCATAAAAATTTTGTGTGTAATGATTTGATTAATAGTTGATGACATATTTCTCGAAATGTGATTTTCTTTGAACATGAATATTACTTTCAGCATCATGTGTCGACATCAGATACAGTTATACTTCCACAATTTGATAATTCTTCTGCTGATAAAAGGTTCAAGCCGAACATTGTCTACACACGACGACAGCTCACTTCACCTTCAATCCTCCCCGAGTCTGATCCTGAAAGTGCACCAATAAGTATTTGACGATCAACCCGGCGTATCCGCCCTCCAGATAGATATGGGTATTCTGTAATTTTAATTAAAACTACTGTTTCTACCTCTTACTTTCAAGCTGCTAAACAGCCTCGCTGGGTCAAAGCCATGCAAGAGAAACTTCAGGTACTTTAAGACAATCACACTTGTGATATTGTTTCATTTTCTACAAGTGTTAAGCCCATTGGTTGTAAATGGGTTTATTCTTTTATAAATGGGTTTATTCTTTTATTCTTTTAAACTCTGATCTGATGGCTCTCTTGATAGATATAAGGCAAGATTGATAGCACTTTGCAATTAATAGGAATACGGGATTGATTATGAAGAAACATTTGCAGCTGTAGCTAAGATGACTACTGTCCGGCTAGTATTATCTATTGTTGCATCTAAAGGCTAGTTGTTAAAGCAGATGGATGTTAAGAATGCATTCTTACATGGGGATCTCAAAAAAAATATCTATATGACTCCTCCTCCAGGCTTGCTTTCTACACCTTCACATGATGTTTGTAAGCTCAAACGGTCTCTATACGGTTTGTAACAGGCTCCACGGGCCTGGTTTGAAAAGTTTCACAATACCCTTCTTAGCTTCTTTTTAATTCAAAGTCAATATGATTCCTCATTATTTCTTCGCAAAACTGATAAGGGAATTGTTTTTTTATTAATCTATATTGATGATATTGTCATCACAGGATCTGACAATCAATTGATGTCTCAGCTACAGAAACGTCTTCAGGGTTTTTTTTCATTGAAATATTTGAGGTCATTAACCTATTTCTTAGGACTCGAGGTTCACTCTTCTCCCGCTGGTACTTTTCTTCATCAGCACAACTATACGAAGGGACTCATTGGTTTGGTTGGTCTTCAAGATGGTCGTTAGCTGATACTCCTCTGGAAGTAAATGTCAAATATCAACAGAACGATGGTAACTTTCTATCTGAACCATCTCTATATCGACAATTGGTAAGGAGTCTCAATTATCTGAATATTACGCGTCGTGATATTTCATTTGTTGTGCAACAAGTTAGTCAATTTATGCAAGCACCTACACATCTTCATTTAGATGCAGTTCAACGTATTGTTCGGTATTTGAAAGGTACTTCTCCTCGTGGTTTGTTCTTTTCCGCAGAGTCTCCTATCATCTTAACAGCCTATAGTAATGTCGATTGGGCTGGTTGTTCTGTTTCTTATGAGATGAAGATGGGCTTCTATGCGGCTTTGAAGTTTGAAGTGCTACTAGTCTAATCAATTGAAAAAATAGGGCTCGTCTCCTTCAATCATTTCTCCCTTCTCCCAGTAGGATCCTTATCATCCTGATGAAAGAGCTCATGTTGCACGTTGTTTGTTAAATCCATCAAATTTTCCTTTCATCTACAATAGAAAATACCTTTAAATCGTGCTCATTATATGTGGTGTTCAAAGTTTTGAGGCATTCAAAAGAAAGAGATATAAATGGTTGTGATTCCAATAAGTTTGAAAGAAGCTTAGATTGAGATAAAATAGGATTGATGTTTACTAAAATAACAATTATCCATAAAGTGAGATATGTTCTCCTAAAAATAAGTTTTGGATAAGAAAGATTTGCTTTCAAAAAGGTCACGCCTATGATGATGTATTTAAAATACTTGGGATAATAATTTGAATGCCTATTGGTGAGCAGAATAGCTAAGAAAAAATTATTTTATGACTTTTTGGTCAAATTTGCATCTTTGATGTAGAGAAACATGCAGAAAGACAAAGTGATTGAATGCCTTGAGAGAAATTATGGAGATAGTACATTTTGGAGATAGATTTGGGTAAGATTTTGACAAAAAGACTTGGAACTTAGGAATTCTTGATGACATTCATTAATAAAAAATGTTAGGGTAAGGACAACCTCCCCCAATAATATTTTGCGATATTATTAGTGATTATAATTGATTAACATCGAGAATGAGTCTAGGTTTTTTTTATTTTTTATTTTTTTCTATCTCATTTTGCTAAGGATTATGGATAACAAAACTTCGGTAGAATAATTTGTTTGTCGATGGAGACAATCTCCATGAATTTAATGAAATATTATTTCACATTATCAGTCATAAAAACTTAACCATTAACTTTGAATTTTGTTTGTATAAAAAAATGAAACTTTTGAGGAAAAAGATAATTAGTTACAAATTTGTCTTTCATTAGAAAGATCCAAATGGTTTTCATATGTTCATCAAAAAAAAGATACAAACCACCGAGTACCACTCATGTTGTTAACCTAAGATGGTCCTCAAATGTCATTATAGATGGTAAAAAAAATTTGTGGGGCTTTAAAAGGATGACTCCGTAGGAATTTCAAGTATGTTTAGATAATTGGCAAGTTTCAAACTAAAATGCTTTAGGATTTATATTGAAGAAAAAGATGTAGTTCCTCAATTTGGATGACCAAGGCAAAACTGCAAAAGTACTAACTTTTTGTAGTTTTGTTAGAGAAAGATACTTATTAAGCATGATTCTCTTGACTTTAGAATGCACATCAATATTTAGGAGATATAGGCTAGCTTTTTCTTTCTCATTTTTTATAATCCTTCATGGTACCATATCCTAAAACTCACAAAAATTTAATAGTTGAATTCATATTTTTCATAAATTTGATGATTGACAATACGTTGCAAAAAAATCTAGGAACAAAGAGAACTAAGTTAAAAATCACTAAGCTAGTGAAATGAATAATCCCAAAACCAGTTACAAAACCAGTTACTTGCAATATTGACCAATCAACATTTCTAATTGTACTGTACTTTAAAAACAGCGTTTAAGAGTCAAATAAAAGCCATTCCCGATCGAAAGATATATGGACCACAAGACAGATTATGGATTTCCATTTTGGAAACTAAACATATTCGAGATCATATGTTTTAAGCAACATTTTAGGTGCCAAGGAGTTTAGTTTGACCTGGATAATTGATGATTAGTTCCTATATCATATTATTATACCATTTTTTTTTTAAACTCTAGAATATCACCAAAATTATTTTTATAAAATTCTACACTTTATTTTAGTATTTTGAAATAAAAAAGTAAATTTCCTAAAGTTCTTATTAAAATTACTGTAGCACTAAAATCAAAACCCACTTTCAATAACATGCAATGGTTTGACTTGATTTAAAGGGCGGGAATTCATAAAAGGGAGGGGGAGAGAAGAGAACACACACACACACACACACACACACACACACACACACACACACACACAAGCATATATACTTAATATTTCCCCCTTTCTCATTTCTTCATTGCGTTGTTGCTCGAGGCGAATAAAAAAGCAGCAGCTCTCGGGAAGCAGTTGGGAAGGAGATGAATTAAAGAAGAAAAAGGAGAAAAAGAAGAGCAGGAAAGAAGAAAAAAAAAAATGAAATGAAGAGGATGAGAGGATAAAGTAAGGAAAAGAGAAGGAAAACTATGTTTTTAAAGTAAGGATTTAATTTCTTGTATCATTTCTACGAGTTGTTTTGATTGGAAATTTTTTATTTTCACTTTTTAAAAATGATAATAATAATTTACTATTTTTTATAACACCTTGTACACATATTGGCTCTCACTCATAAAATTCGTAACAATGACTATTTGGTGATTTGGTAGTCTTTTTTAGGTATTTTCAGCACTATGTAAACGTCGATAAAGTTCATTCTGCTAAATGAGAGATTTTTTTATGAGTTTAATTTGTACGATACAATTTAGTTATACGTGCATGATGTTGCATCAAGAGTCCACCCTCATTGGTAGTGTTTGATTGAATGAAATAATCATATATGGACACCGTCAGCATTGAAATCGCATTGACATGATTTGTTTGGTGAAAAGAATTATGTTTGAACAATTTTAATTGCAATGAGACATGTTGAATCATTTTCATAACATGTGTTATCTAATGATCATCATTAGCTTTGATTATGACTTAGTCTAATTTGTGTTGCATTATGACAAATATGTGTAGGCCAACAGTGGCTAGTAGAGTCCATAAACATCTATGTCAAAAGCTACTTTGATGAAGAAGCAACGAATTTGAAATCTTAAATTATGATACAAGTTCATTTGAACCTGGAGTCAAACACAGCATATTCTAACTCCCTCCTGATGGTCATTTATGTAGCTCGATGTAGTTTGGTCATTTATAAGTGGCTTTTAGCATATGTTCCAGCTCTCACAGGACGGTAAAGTCATGCGGTACATTCCTTTTTAATAATTCAATTTTAGCAATGAAAAGAAATTGAATGAACAACGGTCACAGCTTGATTTCACTAAGACAATCTACCACTACTACAAGTCATAAAATCAACAAAAACATAATCAGACTCGAGCACAAGAATCAGAAGATTAGATACAGCTTAGCTGAATAAGGACTTAAATGATATCTTATGCCACTACAATCATATTAACAAAAATAGAGAAAGAGCATCGCATCACAAGCATGGCGGATAAAGGAAGAAAAGAAAAGAATATATTTGCATTTAACTGGGAGAATGCAAAACATAACATAAAAAGATTTTAAAACAATCTCAAAAAGGGAGAAATCCATATAAACAGCATCGTAACAAAAGAAACACTAACCATTTCAATCAGATCATTTCCAGACCACTTATCATGATGACCGTTTTCTAATACAAGCCATCTTCCAGAGATTGTGCTACGAACGTAATAAAAATAGCGAATGCTGGTACCCCTGTATGATGGGGGCAAGATCATAGGCAGTTGAACCCGTATCATATCTGTGAAACTTACTATTGTTACCAATTTGAGCACAAAAACAAGAAACGATATTCAATACGGTGTTAAGAAAAAAAAAGTACATTTGCTGCAGATCAAAGAAATTGTTCACCCTCTTCATAAGCTATAAAGACAGCCATGTGTCAGTTAAGCGACAACGTCAACGCGTAACTTCAATGAAGGGATGCATTTCAACACATTAAAATCTATGCAACACAAACTTATTTTAAAACAAGATGTTTAGTTTTATTCAAACATCACAACTCATCCAAATACCCAAGCTTAATACAGCACATTTTGATTTATCAATTATGATGAATTATCCATCTGAATTCTGATTAACTAGTGCTAATCTAAAAGGCAATTCAATAACATATTTTTATTGAATGAAGACTTCAATTTTTCTTATTTGAAAACATAGACCTCACAAGATCTGCATAAACAGTTCTTACATGAATCCTGAAAGATCAAAGTAAATTGGCAAGTAGAATAAAGTCGGACCTTTTGATTCAAAACTGATATTTGTTAATTTTTTGGGATAAAATTAGTTTATACTAAGAAAAACAGGGATACAAGGAGTACAGTCAAAGGTACAAAAGCACTTGACCATGAGATCAAAACGAGAGTAATGGAAACCACCAAAACATAACAAAATTAAAAACCCACAGGAAAACCATCCCACAAGTGAATAAGCTTGAAACAAATCGAGAAATGCCAGCAACAATGAGAGCAGAGTAAATGCAACAAGTGGGATGGTAAGAATATAGGGTTATTCATTTCATGCAAATAATATCCATGCAAGCCAGGGTGAGACACCAGCAAACAACAAAGTTCTGCACAAAATAACACCGTACAGCAACCAAGAAACAACCCTCCATGACACAATAACAGTAATAAGACTAAAAGCTGTATGAACCACCATGCATTAACTTGAATTTAATTTGAAGCAAATGTTAACCCAAAAAACAAATTATATTTGAATGAAAAGTTCAACAAACATCAAGAAGATAATAGAATACAAAAAGCATGTTAATATCAGCGTAACAATTGAAGCAATACTAGGCGTGATAGTAACCCGACAGATGAAGAAAAAGTAGTAGGATAAAATATAGATAAATCTCCATGAAAGCTACCAAAATGCCAAACCAATTGATGTTCTTATCAATGAATTCTAAATGAAATAATTAACATTTTAGGTACATTATGATGATGCTTATTCTTTCCTTAAATTCTTGAATGGTAAACAAATTCTTCAAACCTATCATCGCAATCTGAATTATTCCTAAAATCAGAGACCATGCTAATTGCCAAAGGACTATACTTCTCTTCAGGCCATGTTAATAGCAAAATCATAAGACCCCAGAGGAAGAAGAATCTTGTAACTGAGAAAAGGAAACAAGACAGCATGTACCACAAAAGAAATCATCCCTCTGAAAATCAAATGTAAAAATAGTTAAACAACATCTAGCAATAGAAGTACACTCCTGCAGTAACATTAAAACTTCCAAAGCTTAATCAAGAATTCAAACCTTTTGGTTCCTTCCCAAGAGTACATAATTATAATTGTTTAGTATTTTTGTGCAAAATGTTGAAAACTAAAGCAAACATGAGCTTGTTAAGCAAAGTGATGCTCAACTTCAGATGAGTGCAGGTAAGAAAAGCTGCATAAACAATAGCAGCACCAACACATCCCGCAGCTTGGGTACACAGTGGCTGTATGATGAATTCAAAAGAGTTTGCTAACAAGGCAGATCAATGAGCCTACAGAAATTTTAATAGTTTTCAGGAATGAGACCTTAACAAGGTCAAGTTAATAAGCATCATCTCATTCAAAACATAATATGGAACATGATAGGGTAATAGTACCACATTTATGACAGATGTAAAAAATCAAAAAAGGAACTTAAAAGTCCAGTTTTGTTTATTTTCGCAAAATCTTTGTAAGCCACAATACAAAATATAGTAAGGAACAGAAGCAGAAGAGAAAAACAATAAGACCAAATCTCATCCATCTGAAAGGATTTCCTTACATGTCTTAGAACGTCCAGAAGAAACTATCACTTTTGAAACAGTTGCTGGTGCTGTACAATCTAAAAAAATTGTTTCACCTGCAGTTTCCAAAAATAAAAAAAAATAATAATAAGGGCAAACTATGTGGAAGGTATTCAGGCAATCATTTCAAGCATGACGCTACATTGTGAAGCTGGAAAGCAGTTTTAAATTACATATACTGCTTTAAAAAAAGATCCATCAAGTTCTAATCTAAAGAGCAGACTGTTTATGTAAGAAAACTAGGCCATAAATTTGATTGCCGATTCTCATGGCAAGTATTGAAGTTAAAAGTACTCTAACCTATTTAAATTCCAATTCTTACAGCCATTTTTTCTCCCTGAAATACAACCCGTAAGTCAATACTTACAAAAAAATAAATCAGCAAACACGTAGCAGTAATAAAAGTAATCATGCTGCAAGAAAAATTGTCTAGACAAGAAAGCGCCACAAGGATAGCTCAACTGTCGAGGGAATTGCAAAAAAATCTAAATATTGCAGGAAAAATAACTGTTTGCACGTTACGTATGATATAAAGTGATATTTTAATTCGTCTGAATAAATAGCAAGTTCACACAACAGTATTTAACCAAGGCCTCCTAGTTAAGCTCATCATATAACTGGCATTTATATGTAAGAAGATTCTGAAGGCATGAAATATGTACGTGCATATCAACAACAGAAAAGTACTGAGGACCAAAACCTACAAACTGTATCACAAATAATTTGTTGAACTTGTTATCCCAAATAATTTGTTGAGCTTGTTATGCTTTAAAAGAGAAGCATAATACTAAGTTAAGTGTTGCCGAGATGAGAATGATTAGGTGGATGAATGGCTTTACACTTTGAGACAAAATGCAAAATGAATATATCCGTGAAAGGGTTGTTGTAGGTTCTGTGACGGACAAAATTAGAGAAAATCGTCTTAGATGGTTTGGTCACATTAAGCATCAACCATCTGATGATCCGATTAGGAGAGTGGATGCTTTAGATTCGACTTATGTTAAGAAAGGCAGAGGGAGACCTAGGAAGACTGGGGCTTCTTGTATAAAAAATAATCTAAATTTATTAGAACTAAATGATAATGTGACACTATATAGACGCAATGCAAAAAAAGTATTCATGTAGCCGATCCCACATAGTGGGATTAAGGCTTTGTTGTTGTTGTTGTTGTTTTTACCTCCTCAATGTTCGTACCATAAAAGGCAGCTCTTTATGTTAACAATTAAACAAGTTTTACATGGAAATGGATTTCATCAATGATCCATGACAAAAAAGTAGCTACTGGGATATTAACTTTCGCAAGAAGAAAGTGGTATGAATAAAGCCATATTTAATCGCTCACATAGTGATATCGGAGAACCTAAACTACAAAACAAGACACAAATTTATTAGTAACTTAAAAAGACGGTTACAACGGTGATTCAAAGAAAAGAAAAACACCACATAAATCAAAACATGAAACAAAATATTACAAACAAATACTCAACAAATAAAGACACAACAAGATCGACGAGAGTGGCGGCTGCGGTGAAGGTTGGAGCAATGTCGGGGGAAAATGTGTGGGTCAGCGCTCGTTGAGGCGTCGAACTGCAGCCGAAGGAGCGTAACGGCGAGGATGGCGCTGAAAGCAGAGGAACTGAAGCAAGAATGGCGACCGAAGCCGAGGAGCAGAGCCACAGATGACGACCAAAGTCGAAGAGCAGAGACAAGGGAAGACCGTGAACTGCAAGAAGGAGGGAGGCAGCAACTAGAAGTGTTGGGATAGCCTGAAAGAGGTTGCAGCCTCCTAGGACTGAAGCGGTAGGAGGTCGAGAGGGGTAGAGCAGCTTCTGGGGATGGTGCTGGAAGGCCAGCACGAAGCTGCGAATGCAGGTGACTGCAATGGAGGCATCTGGAAGGACAGCAAGTGGGTTGCGAACTGCGGGCAGTGAAGCTACAGGGGATTTGACAATGGTTTGGGAGGGCAGCAGGGTTGCGACTAACCATAAGGAATGCTTGTTGACGGTTTAGAGGCTCAAAATGAACGGCGACAATCCAGCAGGGAAGTTGCAGGGGAACATGGTGGCAATCTGGGAGGATCACCAGGGGAACCGAGTGGCTATTGGCGGGCAAGGAGGTGATCGACAGTGTTGGAGGATGGCTGGAACATCAATGGACTGCAGGATAGCGTGTAGTGGTCGGAACGGGGATGATAATCACCACCTCGGACAGGGTTACAGCCGGAGCACCTTACTCGTCATCGAATAAAACCCTCAAGAGAAAGAGACTCAGATAAAACTGAATTTCGATTTCAAAATCAAGACCCCTAACTCTAGACACATCAACTCCTATTTGTAAGAGACGTGACCCAAATTTAAAAAAGGTTTAAATTAAGGAATAATAATAAAATCAGGATTTAGGCTTTTAAGAAGGGATTTAAATTAGAAAAGAGCCTAGGAAGGAAAAGAGAAGAGCAAGAAAGAAAAGAAAAGAAAGGGAGAAAAAAGGAAAAGGATAGAGAAGGAGGGGGCGGTGGGGCCCCCTCCAACATTACCAGCCGATCCAGCTGGGCTAGACCGACGCCCAGCCAGTCCCCCATGATTCTAGCGTCAGTCTCTCGAAGTTAAGAGAGCTTTGACCTCAGCTATCAAAGTTTCTGGATCCTCAAAGTACGGAGTAAAATCTGCAAAGTTGAATGTGGTTGATATGTTATAGTCCCCTAACTCTAGACACATCAACTCCTATTTATAAGAGACTTGACCCAATTTTAGGAAACATTTAAATTAAGAAAGGAGAATAAAATAAAATCAAGATGTAAGATTTTTAAGAAAGGTTTAAATTAAGAAAAGATAATAAAATCAGGATTTAGGCTTTTAGGAAGAAAAGAGAAGAGCAAGAAAGAAAAAAAAAAAGGGAGAAAAAAAGAAAGGACCGAGAAGGAAGGAGGGACGGTGGGGACCCCCTCCAACAGGACTGGCCAATCCAGCTGGGCTGGACCTACGACCTGCCAGTCCCCCATGAGCCTCGCGTCAGTCTCCCAGAATTAAGAGGGCTTCAATCTGAACTGTCGAAGCTTCTGGATCCTCAAAGTACGGAGTAAGATCTGCAACGTTGAATGTGGCTGAAATGTTATAGTCTCCTAGTAAGTCCATCTTGTATGCATTGTCATTGAGTTTTCGCAGAATTCTGAAAGATTCGTCTACTCTGGGTTTTAGTTTTCCGAAAGCTCTTACAGGGAATCGTTCTTTTTTCAACAGAATCGAGACAAGGCCGCCTTCTCAGAATGTCACATTTTTTCCATGATTTGTTTGCTTATGCTTGATATTTTCTGTTGTTTAATAATCTCGTTGTCAACCTTTTCATATATTTGATGGATTTCGTGAACCCGTTTTGTAGCATCTTGGCTGAGTTTTGACATTGGCAGGTGTGGGACCAAATCAAGCGGTGTGAGCAGATTGCGACTATAGACTATCTCTAATGGACCGCATCCCGTTGTCTCACTCATGGGTCTGTTGTAGTTGAATTCTGCTTGAGCTAGAATAAGATCTCATTCATTGATATTCTTTCTCACAAAACATCTCAGTAGGTTTCTCAGACTTTTGTTCACTACTTCAATCTGACTGTCTATCTTTGGATGAGTTATTGAACTGAATTAAAGTTTGGTGTCTAACTTCTCTCATAAGGTACGCCAATAGTAACTCAGAAATTTGGCATCTCTGTCAGAGATAATAATAATGGGAATCCCATGCAACCTGACAATCTCCCTGATGTATAAGTCAGCAATATGAGAGACGTCTAGTGTGCGGTGACAGCGTACGAAATGTGTCATTTTTGAAAATCGATCTACTAAAACCATTACAAAAACTTTGTTCATTTGTGTCATGAGGAGACCTAACACGAAGTCCATGCTGACATCCTGATCCCAATTTTCTTTATATATATTAATGTGATGTATGCGATTATATTCTTAATTTCCTTAGTTATAATTCTTACCTTGCAAAAAAACCAAAAACTTGATCCCAAGCAAAAATTAGATAAAATTTTGACTTCAAAACAAATAAGAATACAGTTATAATATTTAAATATGGGATATTACACAATTATAAGTATCGTTATCAAGTAATATAAGACTTTTTTATTAAGCTCTGAATATCGAACACATAGGGAAAATACAATATGCACTTATAAAATAGGAGAAATTAGAAAACAAAATTCTATTTAGCAAAATATTCTTACATAAACTCTAGATGCTAAAATAAGAATGAAAGTTCAATTCTTTTTGTAATTTTTTATGATTGAAAATAAAGTAAGCAACTAATTTAACTAGATATTTGCAAGATGAAGACAATATAAATAAAATATATTTTTCTTTATCATGAATCAGTAACAAGATAGGAATTTTGTTGTGGAAGTGAATTTTGTTGTGGAAGTATTCTAATTGTGTCATGTCAAATAGAAACAATAATATTATTTATCTTTACTAGAGATGCTATAAAGAACATTGATTAATCTATAGTTTGAACAATCTTGAAAACGGGTTAGGTACAACCCCATGAACAATATTCTCATCCATGAAATCAAATGTGATTTTTATCATTTGTTGATTGAGAAAATACTATCTCGGATCTTACATGTTCTCACAACAGGTATTAACATCTTAATTAGTCAAATCAAGAAGTAAATGAAGTACAATGTTTAAAATCATCACAACTTCTTTCAACATTAAAGACTAATATTTCACACAACTTCCTTCTAATTCTTAATTCTTATCATTTTAAGAAAAAGATAAAAAAATTACTCAGAATTCATGGAGAAAACACAACCACACTTGAGTTTGAAAGTAGAAATCATGCACACAAACAAGAAGTCTAAATTAAAATCAAATGTAGTCAAAAGGATAAAAACTTATCTCAAATCCTCTCCACCAAATGTCTTGAAGTTCCTTTGAATTTTTTTTTTCACTTATAATACAAACTAAAACTTAAAATAAAAAGAAAAGTGGGCGGCAGCGGTGGCGGCGACGACGACTGCGTATGTGGTGGTTGACACTGGATTGGTCTTATGGATGATTGATGAA